TGGGGGTCCAGGTTAACTCCTTGCACACAGATACCTGTTAACAAGTGGTTACTGCACACCCTTGAAAACAAAGACACACATGGTTTCATTTTGATAGTTGGCTAAAAACTCTCCTTACGACAGTGAAATGCTCTTAGCATCTCATAATGAAAGTGAAAATATTTTCGGGAAAAAAAAGAGCCTTGTACCTCCCCTACCCCCAACGACTTCTTTGAGCGCCAGAAAAGACAACGGGTCCGATGTCAGTTCTTACAGGTGGTGCTGAGTCCATAGGAAGAGAAGAACGAGTCTGTCCTCCTCAAAAAGGCGAATTTCACCTTTAAAAAGTCTTGCAGGCATTTTATGCAAGGCCTTCCACTGATGAGACCAGGTGTGTGTGCAGTGAGTAAATGTCAGAGGACTGTCACACACACTTCCTCCTGACAGTCATCCACTGCAGATGCATCAGCGCGCTCCTAAGCTCCTGGGCCGCCCTGGGCGTCAGGCGGGGCACGCTCACTGCGAGATACCAAAAGGGGCTCGGCATGCGCCCATTTACTCCCTTGTCAACAAGTTCTTGTGCTCCTACTGTGTGCCAGGCAGTTCTAGGTGTTGTGATACAGCAAGTGTCAAAAACAAAGTCCCTGCTTTGTGGCCCTTAACAGAGGGATCGAGACAGATGAAAAGTAAACACACACAATTCACTGCGTAGCATTCAGCACGGGAGGCAGAACAGAGAGGCTGCGGGGGGCGCTCACCCGCGCGCGCACAGGGGGGGAATTTCGGAGAAAGCGGCCACCGTCCCCGCGTCACGCCAAAGGTGAGCGCGGCCCCCGCGGTCCCCAGCGCCTGCGGGCGGGCTGGGCGGCTCCCGGCAGCGCTCACACTGAGCGGGGAGAGGTGAGCGCGACCCTCGCGGGCCGTCGGCGCCCGCAGCGCGAACACTCGGCTCCCCTTCGCCGGCGCCGTCCGCCCAAGTTCGCCCGAGCTCTCGAGTTCTATGGGTGACCGGCCGCTCACTTCCCGCCGCAAGGCAGCCGCCTTCGTTCCAAGGGGAAAAAGGGTAAGTGACAGGCGAAATTCTTGAAG